AAGTATTTAGCATAATATATGGTACCCTGGGCTCAACAAATGCTAAATGTTATTAATAACAAGGATGACATATTATGTAGGATGTATTAGAAATTAAAACATACTGCATGTGCACATTCCTATTCCTCTTAGACGGTAGTCTTGTTGGATTGCATGCTAACACACAGCTCAGTCTGAGGGTGGCCATTCCTGTGAAGTGCATTACTTTTAAATCTAGTGCGGACCTAAAGTGCTTTGTTACATGCTAAATTATTCCTAATCATTCCCAATCTGTTTTGGGGTTCAAAACTCCCAGCTCCCTGGCAGATTTCATTTCTCTTGCTTGGGTCAGATGTCCTCTGCTGATTTAATCAGGGGCCAGAATCACAGAGGTGACGTCAGTAGTAGGTACAGCCCTACTGCTGGGGGCAGCTCTCAGGGAAAAGAGAATCACTGTGACTTAGAGGTACCAGGACCATCATTAAAGAAAATTCATCTATCATTACTGGAGGAAGGAATAGCATCTGAAAAGCCTCCAAGGAGTCCAGCAAAGCACTACCGTTTCAGTTTGGCTGGAGTTTCAGTGGGAACATTAGGTGGGACCATATCCCGAAAAGCTTGGCTATGACAAATTGGATGTAGGAACGGGGGAAAAAGAAACATCAGTATGTGTGTCAGTATAGTAAGTGCTAATTTGGAAAGACAGAGGAGAAAACAAACAGTAGAATAGCAGGAAACGCGGAGGAAATTGTTTTGGTTAGAGACCTGATGATAGAGGGCAGTCAGGAGGGGGCATTCAGGAAGAAGCTGGAGATGTGGGGCGAGAATTCAGAAGGGACAGACAGACTGCATCGAGATTTGGGAGTCAGTAGCGTGGAGGTGATGGCTGAAGTCACGGGACATGCGTGAGCTTCCCCAGAGTTAACTTGACCGTCAGAAGATAAACCAACAAGGATGACATGATCGTCGACAGAGGAAGTCAGCAGAGGGGACTGAGAAGCAGACAAAGAGGACAATTCCAAAGCAGAACTTTAGAAACAGAGTGACCTGGGGGGTGGGGAGGAAGAACTGCAGAGAGGGCCTGGTGACTTCATCAATCAGGACCATCGGAGGGAGAGGGTGCAGCAGGCTGAACACCATCCACCCTATCGTGTGCAGCTGTAGGCCATGTTAAAATTGTGGTGTAGTATTTGTTATATGGTTAGAGCACACTTTAGAAAGAATCCCTTCTGTTACTGATGAACTTTTAGCTCATTTTCCACTTAATGGCTATTGTAAAGTAGCCGTATGTGAACACAGTGGGTAAGTGCCAAGGAGTGGAGCTGCCGAGTAATAGAGCAAATGTATATATTTTTTCTTTTTTTTAGTAGATACTTATGAGTTTCCCAAGGTTGTTATACCAATGTCCACCCCTGCCAGTAGTGTAGGAGAGAGAGCCAGGCATTTCACGTGCTTACCAACCCTTGGGTTTTCATTGTTGCTGGATTTAAGTTTTGCTTTAGCCATTCTGGTGTATGTCATGGTATAAAATTATTGTTTTAATTTGCATTTCTTAAATGTCTGATATTGAGCACTTTTTAATTGGCTTATTATTTTAAGGTACTTACTCTTAATGGGTTAATGACAGAAGTTTTAATACAGCACAATTTATCATCTTTTTTAGTGTTAGTGCTTCTTTTCTGTTGATTACTAAGTCTGCCTATCAAGATCAAAAAGATGTGGTATCTCCCAGAAGCTTTCTTCTACCTTTCATAGTTAGGTTTAGAATTTATCTGGAACTGATTTTTATACATTGTGTGATATGTACAACATCAATATTCTTCTTTCCTCCCAGAACATGGATATCCAATTGATTCCACACCACTACGGAAAAGACGATCCTGGCCTTACTGCATTGCAGTGACATATTATCATCAACTCTAAGTTCCATATTTTAGGTTGGTTTCCAGACATTTTATTTGTCTAGGCTTGTGCTGTTTTTTTGGCCAGGTCTGGGTTTGAACCCACCACTTCCAGCATATAGGGCAAGCGCCCTTCTCCTTTGAGCCACAGGCACCGCCCTTTTTATTTTGCAGGTTTGTTTTTTTTTGCCTTGTTCTAATATTACTGTTCCAATTCCAAAGCTCACAACAAGTCCTGACATCTGCTAGTCTAATCTTCTAACTTTGCTCTTCTAAGATGGTTTTACTTTTCTTGTGTTGTTGTTGTTGTTTTGGAGACAGAGTTTTACTGCTTCCCTCCGTAGAGTGCCGTGGCATAATCACAGCTCACAGCAACCTCAGTCTTGTGGGCTGGAAATCCTCTTGCCTCAGCCTCCTACGTAGCTGGGACTATGGACACCTGCCACGAAGCCTATTTTTTGTAGAGACAGGGGTATTGCTGTTGCTCAGGCTGGTCTTCAATTCCTGAGTTAAGGCAATACATTAGCCATGGCCTCCTAGCGTGCTAGGATTATAAGCCTGAGCCATCGTGCTGTCTTTAAGATGCTTTTAGCTTTTTTTTTTTATCTCTCTACATTTTCAAATAAATTGTCAATCCTCTCCTAGTGAGTAAAAAAAAAAAAAAAAAAAAAAAATTATTAATCTTCACCTCTCTCTCCCTAATATTATTAGAATTTTGACCAGGATTATACTTTTTTTTTTTGAGACAGAGCCTCAAGCTGTCTCCCTGGGTAGAGTGCTATAGCATCACAGCTCACAGCAACCTGCAACTCCTGGGCTCAAGCGATTCTCCTGCCTCCACCTCCCAAGTAGCTGGGACTACAGGTGCCTGCCACAACGCCCGGCTATTTTTTGGTTGCAGCCGTCATTGTTGTTTGGCAGGTCCGGGCTGCCAGCTCAGGTGTATGTGGTTGGCGCCTTAGCCACTTGAGCCACAGGTGCTGAGCCGACCAGGATTATACTTAATCTTTAGATCAGTTTAGCAAGGACTGTCATCTGAGCAACACTGAGTGTTCCAGACTCTAAACATGGCACATTACTTCCGTCACTATCATCTTATAAAATATTTCTAAGTGATGGTTCATAGTTTTTACTATTTAGAGCACTTGCACATCGTTCACCAGAATGAAACAACTGCTAAGAGTTTGGGGAGAGGAACTCAGAGGTGAAATAGAATGGGGTTGGAAAATGGTATTTTTCATTCTGAGCATTATTTGAAATATCAAACTCTGTACCCACATTAATTGGATAACAATGAATAAGTATGTATTTTATTTTTCTAAATAAGGCAGGGTAAAGATAGGGACTTGAGACAAAAGGAAATAATTTGAGATGTGCATTTTGTTTTCTTTCTTTAGATATGATATCTTAGGCTCTAGATTAGATCCTGAAATTAAAGACAACTGAGTCATAATGACATATATTGCAGGGAAACCACTGTAAACCATTTCTAGGAATAGCTAGTAATTCATATTAAAGCCAAAGAATACTTCACAAATAAGCATATAATAGAACTATCTCACTTTGTTTAAAAAGAGGACTGTTCAAGTGTATATATTTTATATGTGTGTACACACATTATAGAAAGATAACATACCCTGCCTATAACATAGACTTCATAAATCTAAGAAGTCCTGTTATTCAAAGACTTTTGGGATACTTCACTTGTCAATCTTCCTTTTTCAGTACCCAAAGAAATTCCAGCAGCATAATATCCAATTGCATTTAGGATAAAAAGATGTAAAAGCTACCTACAGGAAATTTTTTTTTATATTTTTATAAGAGTTGGAAAAACTGGCTCGGCGCCTATAGCTCAACGGGCTAAGGCGCCAGCCACATACACCTAAGGTGGCGGGTTCGAATCCCCAGCCCGGGCCCGCCAAAACAACAATGACGGCTGCAACCAAAAAATAGCCGGGCGTTGTGGTGGGCGCCTGTGGTCCCAGCTACTTGGGAGGCAGAGGCAGGAAACTCGCTTGAGCCCAGGAGTTGGAGGTTGCTGTGAGCTGTAATGCCACGGCACTCTGCCCAGGGGGACAGCTTGAGGCTCTGTCTCAAAAAAAAAAAAAAAAAAAAAAAAAAAAGAGTTGGAAAAACTGTAGCCAAAAACTGAGAAAATATATTTAATTAAAAACTGCAAGCTTCAAATCCTTACAACTCAACACAAAACTCTTAAAATCATTTAAACTAGACATGTTAATAATACAAACACCAATCGCCCTTTTTATTTAAAATTTTATTTATGGTTGTCTTCTTAATTAAAATAAATTTAATTGTAAAAAACAACCTATCATAGAATAATACAAGTATCAGATGCAACCATCTGAATACAGTAATTATAGTCTTCAAACCTTAGCATCAGGTACACTTAATATTCTACTACATGTATGCAACAATAACTCTCTACCTTGCTTGAAGTTTATAGAAGCACTTTTCATTTTATCAAACACAGGCCTCACATGAACTTATAATAAAATTAAATTGTCACGTCAAGTTCACATGATAAGGAACAAGGCTAAACAATAAATTCATCCTTTAAAAATACCTATAGCCAGTGCAATTTGCTTTTTGAGTCTGGTAGATCAAAGACTATTGAAGACCTGACTAGAACCTAGCAGTGAAGGCTGACTAGAACCTAGCCTAGCAGTGACGTTAAACAAGGAGTCTGGAAAAAAACAAGTGGTTCAGTATCAATAGCACAGTATATTTGCCAGCATGAATAAATTAGGGTAAACATCTTTGAAAGGTGAATGTTGAATTAAGTAAAATGTTATACTCTAATTATAGCAGATACCTGAGGAGAGTGCTTTTTGCAAACAGTTTTTTTCTGTTGCACACCAGGGACTTTAAAGCAAATCCAAACACACTGAAAAAGTGGTTGGAAAATGTATTCATTGAAGAAACGATAAACAATGGTATTTGAGACAGGGCTTTGCTCTGTTGCCCAGGTCAGAGTGCACGGGTGTCATGTCATCATAGCTCACTGCAACCTCAAACTCCGAGGCTCAAGTGATCCTCCTGATTCAGCCTCTGGAGTAGTGACCACAGGCATTACATTTTCTATTTTTTGTAGTGATAGGGTCTCACCATGTTTTTCAGGCTGGTCTTGAACTTCTAGCCTCAAGCAATCTTTCTGCCTGGGCCTACCAAAGGGCGGGGACTTTAGGCACAAAGCCCCAGGTTTGGCCAGACAATGCTGTCTTGCAATCTAGTAAGGAAATGTGTAATGTTAGAAAGAGAACTAGCTACTCTTACTTCAGAACCTTAAGCAAAAATACAGAATAGTGAGAGTTTATTACTTTATGTATCTATTATAACTAAGAAATGTTTCCTGCAAATTAGTCATCCTTACAATGTCTGTAGATTGCCTTCTGTTTCATAGGTACTACACGAGGTGCTATGTAGACGCTGAGGAATAAAATAAGTAAGGTTCTCTGCAAAGAGGCAAATTAAGGTCTAGGAAGTACTCATTATATCCTAAAAATTTAAATAAACATGGCTTTTCAAACTAAAAAGAAGTATTTTTCCAAAAAGGTAACCTTCTGAGTATCTGTGTGTATATACAAATATAGTAAGTCAAACTTCCAGAGGACCACAAGTACTATGAAATGCAAAGTTGCTAAGTGACTTTTTCAGTTGGTGTCATCCTTCTCTGATGAACTGTACTTCCTGTGCCTTTTTCCTAAAGTACCTTCTCACATGCAGAAGTTTTTAAAACAATGAAACAAATATTACATCTCTTCTTACAGACATAGTGTTAGTAAATATGGACTATGCTCCAATTTTTTAATCTTGACAAAGACAATTTAAACCAAGCGTATCATACATCTGACACAGATCTCCATCGGCGAGTCAGCGAGTGTGGGGAGAAGCAACGTGAGTGAACGTAAGGCTGCTGTAGTTATTCTTCATCGTCTCGTTGCAAAGGGATGACCTGGATTTCTTTGGCTATCCTTTCTGCTAATGTTCTAGTACTTGCAGCAATTACTCTTCGTGACATCAAATCAAATGGCCCACCTAAGTGCAAATCAAGCATGGAAAACAGTTAAATCTGGTACAAAAATAATTCATACCAAACAAGTACTACCAGTATGTATTATGGTCAATTACGACGTTTCGATACTTTCAGTTTTGAAATACTTTCATTTGAAACTTCCAGTTTTTAATACCTTCATCGTTTTAAAAAAACTACTCTATCACATATGTACAATGGGTTTAACCTTTGGCAGTCTATGAACAAGTTTCTAAGCACTCTTTTTGAGTAAATACTAATTGGCAAGTTGAGAGGGGGAATCCCAAGTCATACCAGTCAGAAAATGTCATCTTTTCTGTTTCTATTTCTGTTGCACACTCTTATTACCTGGTCACTGTTTGAGAATCTGTGGACTGTAAATTCCTACCACTGCCCTTCTCATTTCCTCCTTACTTTGCTGCCTTTCTCCTATTAGGCTGATAAATTCTGTGAGCCCCGAGTTCATCCTTCACTTTAAAAATTTCATCATCAGCTCAGAGTAAGTATTTGACCTCTCTAGGTCTAAGGCAGAAGGTGATGGCAGAAGAAGTTCACACATGGTCATTCAAAGAGCTCTAGGTGCAAGCCTCAGACTCAGGGACGAGGCAGACGGACCTCTCTGTGGTCTCTCAGGAATTCCCGTTATTCACATCCCAAAAGCCTGAGCCATTTATCATTATCAGTCTCACATCACCATTAGCTCTAATTCTTGCTTCTATCTCCTAATGTACGTTTGGATTTTGTACAAAATTACATAGCTTGTTTTTGCCTTAAAAGCTGAGGTACAACATTACTAAACATTTTTTGAAAATCCCATATATGGAAAAGAAGTCTAAACAGATGTGAAGAGAAAAAAGCTTCGCTGTCCATAACTGTACCTGTAATGTCCAGCAGCACGCCCCCAGCTTCAGTAACGATAATTCCAGCTCCGGCAACATCCCAGCAGTGAATTCCCATTTCAAAGTATGCATCCGCTCCTCCAGTTGCCACAAGGCACATGTTGACAGCTGCGGTTCCAACACTCCGGATCCTAACAAATAGTATTTAAAAGTAAAACTGGAAAACAATAATCCTTTACAATAAAGTTTTTTCTCTTTACTCCCCAAAGAATTAACTTCAGGTTGAGTACTGGCTGAGACAGTTTGGACTACTGTAGAGGACAAATGTAAAGAACAGTGGTGATCATCGTGATGTACTACGTGAGTCACAAAACTAACCCATTCAAAGCAGTAAGATAAAAATTAAAACAATGATCTTGGGGAGAAAAAAACTGAAGAAAACGCAATAACTCTACTATAATGACATGTTAAGTATATTCCTATTTTTCTAATCACAGGCACTACAGCTTATGCTATTTTATTCACGTACACACATCACACACACATCACAGGGCAAACACTCCTTGTGAGATGCGAAACATCCTGATCTTTTCATTCCCAACTAGGTTTGCATCATACATGTGCCTATGTAACACAGCAGGCCTGCGCGCTTCATAAACCTCGGCCTGCCTCGCAAGATGACTGCAGGTTTGCCCTCTCATAGTGTCTCTTCCTTGCTACGAGACCAAGTCAATGCCAAGTTAAGAAAAATGTGGGTACTATTGGATAGCTATTATAGTAATAAGTGATTCAGGAACAAAAATCATTAATAAATGCTAAAATTAGTGGGTCAAAGTTTGACGTTTACTTAGTGTCAAAGTATCCCTCCACAAAATACAGAATAATTACAACTGAAAAAATGACAGCTTTAAAATTTATTCCCTTACCAAGTGGTCAAGCTTAATATTACCCATAATGGGACAAAAAGACACGTGCCTCCTGATAGGACTCACTGAGAAAGACAGAATGGTACTTCTAGGGCATTCTTGCCAATAATGCATAATCTAAAAACAACTGTGGGAAAGCAGACAAATGCAAAGCCACAAGCATACTACAAAATAATTGGCCCATACTTTTCAACAATGTCAAGGTCATAGAATACAAAGAAAGATGAAGGTCTGGAATAAATGAAGCTGATGAAAAATGACAACTAAATGATGTGTTAGATCTTGTTCTAAAATTTTTTCCAAATTTGAATAAAATCTTTAGTGTATTAGGTTATATATCAATGTTAATCTCTTGATTTTTATAATTGTACTGTGGTTAAAATAGAGAATGTCCCTTTCATTAAAAATAATACACTGAAGTACATATTCACAAGCAAGAGGTGATATGTCTGCAAGTTATTTTCAAATGGTTTTTACACAAACTCCACTGTAACTATTTAAACCTCTGGAAATAAGGCAGTGAGCTCTGCTCACTGAGAATCTTCCAGAGTTTATTATTTTTTTAAATAATGGAAAAGTGATGACTCATGTAGGATTTCCTTACTATCTAAAAATAAAAATGAAAAAATATTGCCACTAAGTACATCTTCTAGACCAGGGGAATTTTTTTAAGAAAAGGATTTAGAATGCCATGATGTTTCTTATTTGGAATGTTATTCTGTTTATGTTTCTAAATAAATTTAAGAAAGAACTAGCAAGTACAACAAATTTCCAACAGATATTTATTTCTCAAATAAATTAAATCAAATTAATTTTACTGGATTTTTTTAAGAAAGGTGTATTATTCCTCCTTTTCACGTAAGATATGCGATTGTTCATATCTCACATTACACAAAGCAGGTAACAAGATCTTTCACACATAGTCTCTCGGTGTTCTGCTCAGACAGAATCCCGGCTGCCCCAGAGACACTGATACCTAATAGCAGTGCTTCTGTTTACTTCTAATAACATCCTGGGCTCTCAAGAAAGGGGTCTTGTAGTCAGCAAGAGTACATGCTTTTAGTGACAAATATTATCAAAGAATTACTAAAAAGCTTAATAACCATATTCTTATTTATAAATATTAGTTGTCTATTTTTTGAGACTTTGGGAAAAAAATAATAAGAAGTTAATTGATGACTCCATACTGAACCTCAGAGTCAAAGCATTCTATGATAGACATACTCTTATTTGACAAAGTGAATGTTACTTTCTTTGCATTACTATTATTATTATTGCTTAATACTTTGTTGCAGCAATCGTCTGATTTCTTTTCTGAATGTATTTATCTTCGTTTCTAGTCCTTATCTTAAACATTGTTATTGTCGTTAAATTTTAAGCCTTTTTGATTTTGTGAAGGCAAAAAGTGGAAACCTAGTAAACACATGTATATGTAAAAGTTAAAAAAAGATTTAAACAGCTTCATAACCAGGTAATTAGACTCTGGTTTAGAATCTGCACTCTGTGCTCTGAATCCTTGCTTAGTCTGATCCTCCTACACAGTTAATATGGTAGACAGTAAAAAGACTGTGCTGTCGCAGAGATTTGAGTTTGCTTCCACAGTCAGCAGCTTAAAAACTGTAAGTTTGACGTTTCTTCTTTAAGTTTTAGTTTTCCTGTCATCAAACGGGGATCCCAACTTACCTTAGGCCACTGTTATATGAAGACAAATGATACACGTAAAGCACTTAGCAGAGTGCCTGTCATATAAAAGATCCTTAATACAAAGTAGCTATGTGTATTTAGAAATTATACTCTAAACCAGCAGTTCTTAACCTGTGGATCACAACCCACAGGAACTGTATTAAAGGGCTGTGGCATTAGGAAGGTTAAGAACCACTGCTCTAAACCGTGAGGACAGAAAATATTATATAACATAGCACATCTTATCTAAATTAATGCCTAAAAAGTAAATGAAGGAAAAGGCTATACAATGATTCACTTTGTCTCCTAAATGTTATTTCCTACTTCAGAACAGTTTAAACTGCTTTCATTTCTTTAAGATATTCATTAAGATTATGACTCTCTTTAGTTTCATTTTGTTTTTAATATGTAGTTTTGAAAACTACATATTAAAAACTAAACAATCAGCTGAATGAAGCTGAAAAGATAAAAGGAATGACTAAGTCAGTGCTTCTCCTTGGTAATATTTACCTAGATTTATTTTTTTTAATTTTGAAGTAAACATTACATTATACAGGGTGTCCATAACGTTGGGTACTTCAGCCAGTGGCAAAATTAAAGGTTAAAGCTGTAAACCACTTGCAGCTCTTTTATGGCTAACGTAACCATTTTATTGCTCAGGACTAAAGTCCTTGCTTCTGAACAGCCACTGCAGCAGCAAGTTTACTGCTCTTCCCACAAGGACATCGTTCTGGGAGGGTCTACATCTACTTAACAGCAATTCTCTCTCTTTCTTTACTCATCACTATATAGACCAAGGTCTACAGCCCATAGTTTTTACAAAGGTCAAATTATACCTCAAGGGTCCTAATTTCTAAAAGGAAGTCTAATATTGGAGAAAGAGAAATGATTTCGAAGCAAGGGGTCTAGTCATATCTCCATCTGTCTGTGTGATCTCAGGCAGCCAGTTCACCCCTCTGAGCCTCAGTGAACTAACTCATCAATAAATTAAGCCTGACTTACTTGATGATCTTTAATCAGTTCAGAGAGTCTTAATTCAGTGATATTTCCAAAGGAAAAGATAGGAACAGTTGACAGTGAAATAAAGTAATGAATATTCATTATTATTTAAGCACAAAATCTGTTGTATAATAGATTTTTATTATGGTTTTTCATACAAACAACTACACTAAGGGTCAGTCAAATGCTATGTAATGTAGCATCAACTATATTAAAGTTAAGGACCTCAAACTTCTAGCTTTTCTTGAAAACTTAAGGATAAATGTAAGGCTAAGTATTTGCTTTTAATTTCTTTATTTATGAAACTGTCATTACAGAAGGATTCTGGGGTGCATAATAGTGGCATGCTGATTTGAAACTCCCTGTTATACTCCTTGGGGAACAAAAAAAACCAAGAAGGAGGAGAAATAAAACACATAGGACCCATTCCTTCAGCACTTCCAGGAATCACAAAACATGAACTCTCAGACACTCCTATAAGGAGAAGGAAAGGTGAACACACAAATGAATTCTAGCGGAGCCCGGCAAGCCTGTGGATACGGAGAGTGAGGGTGAGGAGGCAAGAAAGACTTTGTGACAAAGAACAGAGAGGACTAGAGAGGACCCACAGGGAACACAGAACCACCCTCAGAAAGAGTGACAAGACAACAACTACAAAGATACTGAACGCAGATCAGGATTTGGCAATTCATATTCCAGGCAAAAACCATGCAGACCCTAACCAGCTTCCTCAGGGAAGCTGTGATTCTGGAAGAGAATCAGATAAGAGAAAGGAGGGGGTATCTCTGGGAGACCAAGAAGTGAAGAACAAATACAAAGACTGCAAACGTAAGGATCCTGCAGAAACAATGAGAAACAAGACAAGCCAGCCCTACCCATCACTACTCCTTCAGAGATAGTCATAGAAGAAATGGCACGGAAAGGCAGAGCTGCTAAAACGAGGAGCTCGGAAACCAGGAACACTGTTCACAGAATAAACAGTGACTTAAAAAAAGTAGACTACAAATGGTGCTGGGTGAACTGGTTAGCAACCTGTAGAAGACTGAAACTGGACCCACACCTTTCACCATTAACTAAGATGGACTATCACTGGATTAAAAATTTAAACTTAAGACATGAAACCACAAAAATACTAGAAGAAAGTGTAGGGAAAACACTTGAAGAAATCAGCCTGGGTAAACATTTTATGAGGAGGACACTCCAGGCAATTAAAGCAACATCAAAAATACACTACTGGGACCTGATCAAACTAAAGAGCTTCTGCACAGCCAAGAACACAGTAAGTAAAGCAAGCAGACAGCCCTCAGAATGGGAGAAGATATTTGCAGGTTATGTCTCTGACAAAGGTTTAATAACTAGAATCCATAAAGAACTCAAACATATTAGCAAGAAGAGAACAAGTGATCTCATCTTAGGGTGGGCAAGGGACTTGAAGAGAAATTTCTCTAAAGAAGATCGGCGCACGGCTTACAGATATATGAAAAAATGCTCACCATCCCTGATCATCAGAGAAATGCAAATCAAAACTACTTTGAGATTATCACCTAACTCCAGTGAGATTAGCCCATATCACAAAATCCCCA